CGATAAACCGCGCGCGTTTTCTCTTGAATGAATGAACTGGAGATCGGCGAAACAGAGAGTCACTCGACAACCTAATCGCGCGTGGTCACTCGATCGATACACTTTTTAAAGTGTAATTTTTCATCCTACTCTCTTCTCGAATGCTCGGCAAATGAATGCCCGGTTTGGTTTGTTCTACTTGAACTATTCATAATTAACCATAGATACGTTGGAATTCATATCCACCAGTCGTAGTAGGATTTAAGCACTTCATTTTCGCTGTCATTTTTTAATACCGTACTGTCGAACACGCAGTCACGCGTGAAAATGTCGGTTTACGGTGAGAGGTAGAATTGTAATGGCCATCGAATTACAGCCCATTAGTTTGTGACTTGCTGGTACCGTACCTCTTCATCATTGGCTATTTTTGTGTCTCTTCCTCAAAGGACTACTACACACTGCAGTATCATTCTCATCATCACCATCATCCCGACTGATCGGGCTCGGAAAAGGTTGGAAAAATTTAATTGTTACATTTACGGTTCGAGGTCTCTCATGTGTCTACCAATTGAGGTTATCTAGGTGAAGACGGTTACCAGTGATCCTCGGGGCATGTATCCATGTCGTTTCAAACGGGAATGACCGCCAACAATCGGCCTGCTCCGTGAGCCAGTTCGTTCGTGAACATCTTGGCGAAAATATCCAATAGATTTAGTGGGTACGAATGGAGTGAGGTCTTTTTAACTATCATTGGCACATGATGGCCTGGTTGAGCACGCGGTTTTTGGAGGCTTTGTTTCGTGTTGTGAGATGCAATGATCAACTTCTTTGATATCGAATAAACCATCTACTTGACCATCGTCCGAGACATCTCGCAATCGGTTATGACGATCATACACTGGGACTGGTGTCTGTCAGCTAGTCTGCTGCTTGATCAGATGATGTGTGTGTGTGTATGTGCAAAGCGAACCAAGCCAGGGTCATTTCCAGGTGAGGTCACGTACATCTGCTTCGCCAAATCTGTCAATTCACACATTTTCCCTGATTTGTTTTTCAAATCCTTTCAAATTCATCCCATTTACGTTCAGGTAAAATGTCATCAATATTGGCCGAATATGGGTCAGACTTTGAATTTCAGCGCGTCACACACCAGTCCGATCCCGTTCAAACCAAACACACAACGTCCTGTCTTGGAATTGCAGTTGCAAACAGTCCGTGAAGAGGTACGTTTTATATCATCTTCATACCCAGTATCGCGATTGTATTTTCTACTTTCCTTGAATGTGAGCCAAATTAGTTCTAGATCGTGTTAGTTTGTTTGTTCGCAAAATAAATAAAACGAGGTGGTTCGGACTCACTCAGGCGGATGTAGCGGATAGTAGCGAACCAAAGAGAGAAAAAAAACCGGATTATGAAAACTTATTTGGTTGTCAATCTAAACCTCAACTCAATCTGTCACGTGTTAATTTATGCTTGTTGACTTTGTTTGTCCGAGCAAATTTATTGATTGGTGCAATCGAAATTAGACTGATTGATTGAAACAACCGTGAATCAATCAGCCCATGAGAATACTTCAGTCTTGTCGATTCAAATACCGACTCGTCCGACTATCACAATCCCATCTTCGCTTTCATGATGAATTGATGTGTGCTTAATTCATGAACCGTTTTACATCAGAAACGGGATTTCGATCGTCCAGGTCCCATGCTTGTTCCATATATAAGTTCGAAACTGCGATGCGAGGGAGAGTGCAGGTGAACTCACTGAGATCAATGCAACAATAATCGATTGATCAAGGCGAAACAAATGCTTTAACGAGATGTTTGTGCTTGATGACAATCTCGACTCTCATTCAGCTTCGTTGTCGCCTAGCTGAATGACATACCCAAAATGTTACTATCTGACGGAATTCACCATTACTTCACCCATTTCCAAAGCGCGTCTCTCATTCTACCTTGGAAAAATCACCTAGATAATAAGGACGGTTACTTTAGTAGTAGTGGTCATCGACAGACAGTTTATTCCATAACATGACCAAATTTGGACATCAGTTTCGTCCATTGGTATCTCTTGAATTCTTGCATTATCAGGCACTTACCTTATTCTCTATTTACCTTGGTGGGAATGGTCCGAGAGTTGGGAAATTTGTGAACAACATTTGTGCCCCTGCAACCTACAGTTTGTGTAACCAATGTTGACGAGCGTTGGTGTAGACAGTTGTCCTACAACACATGTGTATCGTACTCATCGGTCGAATTCATTCCTCTATGCATTCAAACCGCGCTCTCTGCTTGCATGTTAAACCGAGCGACATCATCGGAATCGATCAGTCCGAGCTGCCCCAGGCGTCAAACAGTCCATCTATTCGTCCACCCGCCCACCTACCCGCACCATCGACCATAACTAATGTTCCATTGTCCATGATTTAGAACACGTTGATGGACAGATCGACACCGTACGCTTCGGGCATTGCAACTCCAAAACTCATCACTTCCCGCCCTGCCCTCAGTCATCATGATCATTCCTCAAGCCAACTTGTCGCCCATGCTGTTGGGTCGGGACAGGCAGGTTCGACCGCTTTACAATGTTGCGTGTCGATCGCCACAGTCTACTCCCGCTTCGCCTCGTTCTCCGAGCGGTTGTTCGTCTACACGTCACCCGTCCCATCGAACTGTCCTAAGTTGATCATTTCTCGCATCACATGAGGATATGAGGGCACACACGCGCGCGCGCGAGAGAGAGAGAGAGAGAGAGACAAACAGACAGACAATTCGTGTCGTGAAAATCGCGACCCATTACTTTGGGTAGCCGTTAGAGAGAAAAATTCAACAAGCCAATATTTTGGTGAGCCTGTGAATCGATCATGGATGGAGACGTGCGACCGCGGAAGGAAGAGTTATCCATCAATAAAAAGTATCGTTTGGACTATTCATGTTGAATTTATTCGAATTGTATCATTAACGCGCGTGATACTCAAAAAGAAAGTTTTACTCGATGGTTGATAGCGATGGTCTTACCTAAACAGCCTTTTCTGCTACCTAGGGACGTGCCCACTAGTGTACATCTCCACTGGTCAAGGACTGTGAGCAACCTACCGCCTTGGAGATGCGTTGCCAACTATAGATGCGTCTTTGAAATATCGTATAACCTAACCGATTCTGGTAACTGGATAGGTGAACCCGGTAGATCATTTATTCTCAATGTGTCGAAATCCCATGCTCTCGTTTTGCGGGCAACAATGCCTAGATAGCTCACCTACTCGGGGACTCAGTAGAGGGTTGAAGCAGCTTAATGAAACTGCCGCCGCATCGAGAGGTAAATGCCATCGTCCATCTATCCATCCGTCCGTCCGTCCATTCCAATTATAGTATCATTTTTCTATTTGTTCTCTTTATGCGTTTTGCAAAACACCGAGTCACGTGTTGTCTTTTCATGCACCAAGTTCCTTACCACCCCACTGGACAATGAATGCATTTTTGAGTACTCGCCCATCTACTGCCATCCACTGCCTAGACAGTTGAATAGATGTGTTCAAAAAAAAATTAGGGGATAGGGTGGAGAGAAAAAGTCCCATTTTATCCTCTACTCTCCAGTAGAAATGTATAGCAGATCGTCTATGTCCGGTAGGGCCAATCTACTGGCTTGGTCAGATATCGGAACGAATGCAGAACTGGGGGATTGACCAGTCCAGAGACGAGGTCTGTGTGCTCTGATTAGATTCATACATTGTTTTTCTCAGTTCCCAGTTTGACCAGTCCTTTGAATGTATGATCAAATGGCCTCCGGATTTGCATTCTTCAATCAGACCGGAGTGATGGATGTGGCATCATCGTCCGTCGTCTTTGCAAAACCGAGCAGCCTTCTCGATGTGCATTCATGCACTTCGATTCATGCTGCTACCAGACGAATAGAGATGAACACACACACACACACAGTGACTATTCGCAACACACCACGGTTACGGCTAGGGATAGAATTCACTTTACACAACGCGCTTCTGTTTGACTGACCGTATTATCTCACTGGGATAATTTGATACTTCGCATTTGACTCACAGTTACTTGTGAGTAGTGTGTGTGTGTGGAGGGGAGATAATCGATATAGGTTGATTCGACTGACTATCCTTCGGACTTCACATTTACACACAGTTCTTAGTTCATCAATTCAACCATACACTGGGAAGCACTAGACTCAAGTTTCGCTCTTATTAGAGCTCATCAGTAGTGCATATCCACCGTCCCGTTCGAGTCTATAGTGCTTTCGAGTGTATGGTTGAATCGATGAACTGAGGATTGTGCGTGAAGGTGAAGGTCGAAGGGTAATCAGTTCGATACATTTGGTTCTTCAATCCCAAATCCGTAAAGAGGTGTGTTGTTATTGTGCTTAGTCTGCAGTGTTATTTAATTCGATCGAATAGTTCGAAGTAGACGGGGTTCAAGAACATTGCGACGGGTGTACCGAATTATAAGGAAAAAGAAACTAGGGGGGGGGGAACCCTGTTTCACTAAAATGAACATGATTTGTCTTGTTCTGGCGGCAAACTTAACATAACCTCACCCTACCTCCCATCAGACTGGTGGATTATGGCATCTGAACGATGTAGTGTAAACCGTATTTGCTGGCTTGCTGTGAGCAGCCGATGTCGCTCAGGTTTCGCCATTCTCCAGGAGTCCTTACCCGGTTGAAAATACTCCACGTCTGACTAATATTTGGATTATTGGATTCGCACCGCTGATGATCAAATCAGCAAGGTTGAAATGTAGCTGTAAAGGAACTCGTCAACTTTCTAATTCACATTTTCTCTGCTATCTAGGCAACGGAGTTCTCTGACAATAAAATGAATACGCATGTTTGATCTGTCTGGTGTGTAGGCCAAGATTGACGTACTAATTCAAAAGACGAAATCGATCTAGGTACAATTGTTTACTAACGCCCAATGAATACCGTACTATCGGTAAATAACGATTACATCACAACCACAGATACAAATCTCGATTCTCATAGGGAGTTCACCGAACAGTCAATCGATCAAGGCTGATACAGGTAGCAGCCACTATGGTGAAACGAGCGGACCTTCGGTCGCCGATCAAAGCAAAACTGGCAAGACGAAGGACAAACACCTAGTGATGAGGGTAGATACGTGACCGACCAGGAAATTTGGGTCCACGATAAGCAAGGAATGAGCGAATGAAGTACAAACTGGAACTTCGTCACAAAAGTCAAGTCACAGTTGAACAGGACAGATCATGTGTCAGAGAAAGTGCGTGTGCGTATGTGAGAGATTGAGAGACGTGTGTGTGTGCGTGTGCGCGCTTGTGGAGAGTCAATCGAAAGGTCACATGATCGAACATGAACCATAGCAGTGGGTGCCAACATGGAGGAGGTGGGATGCCAGGTGGGTAAGGGACCGAGTGTTGTGGTTAACACGTAAGCGCATCGAATAAGCTCACGTGAGGAAAAGCTACTGTGGATTAGTCTAATCGATAAATACGGCCAATAAGCGACCGGGAGCAACACAGACTGGGATCATTGGCAGGAACCGATAAAACAGATTCAACAGGGCACAGAAACAACTGTCTGACTTGGGAGCCCTACAATGACAGTCGATTTGGATCGCATCCGTGACTGATTTAGATGAAACGATTAGACCGATTCATTCTCCATAGCCGGTAGGATGTTCCTACGTCATACAGTGACGTGCAATCATACCGGATTCTGTTTTCCAAACTATAGTCGTTTTTGCTTCCAGTGACTTTGTTTTTCTGTCTGGCTAAAAAGTCATACCCGTCGGTTTCATTTAAACTTCCACACAAAATGTCCTAGAAATCGACCAATCTTACTAGTCTTATGCCTGTTTGAATTGATTGACTGAATTCAAACAGATGTGGGAGCACGGTGGGCTTGGCTTAACCACACACACACACACACACACACACACACACACACACACACACGTGTTTCATCCTATTCAAATTTGTCCGTAATGGGGAATCCGTAGACTATGATACTTCGTTGTGAAATTTTCACCTAGGAAAAGCCGTGCATGTGTGTGTCATTTTTTGAGCAGACAGGACTTACAAATCTATCAAACCCAACCTCTTGTCGTTCACCTCTTCCCCCACCCCCCCGGCGGACTCGATGTTGGACACATTCCGACTGTGATTTTGTTCTTCACGTGCCAATCTCATCGTTGTTCGTTTTGGTCATGTGAACGCGAATTAATGACTTGGTCGTATCGCGCGATTCTCGTTTCAACTGATCTGAGCTCCATTGACAAGAGTGATTTCCGTCCACAGTTTGTTGATTGATGCGTCTGACCATGCATGCATGAATGCACTGTGATACGTGTTCCCTGGGGTTTGAGTGTGCATTTGGAATTCTGGCTTGATCTACTCCGGTGTCTCTCTCTCTCTGTTTCCCCTTTGTATCCACCGACCTATTTAAATAACCACTCCACCGAAGAGACTTCTGGGTTTGCGTGCAAACAGAATGGTCTTCTCTTCACGGTACACATGTTAGCATACTGAACACTCGTCTGGCTGGGCCGGATCTAGCACCCCCAACAAGCATCAGTAAAGTAGGCCATTGTTTATTTCGACTGACTCCGACAGGGTTCGAACCTCAGACGCTAAAGCTCGTTACACAGGAACGAGAACAGTTTACATCGTTTGACCACTACCCTCACCACCACAACCACTACCACCAGCACCTAATTACATTCATTTAACCAGTATCCAAATATGCCGATGAGGAGTAGAATAGCTACACAGAACAACTGTTAAGTAAGTAAGAATTGTACGTTGGTCATACTTTATCCTCGGAACTCGATTAGTTTACAAAATTTTTGTAACTTAATCATTTCTAAGCTTTCATCACATTGTGCACACTTTTAAATAATAAATAAGTTTTTTTTCTTCCTTTTTTATTTATTGAATATACAACTGTACAGTCAACTTTCAGGAAGTGTGGGGTGGGGGGGGGCTGCGGCCGTACAAAGGCTGCCTGGGGAAAATACAGAAATAGGGTAGAGAGAAAGAGAGCTTGATCATACTTAGCGACATGGCTGATGCAGTATCAAAAAAAAAATAAAGAGCGGATACAGTCAGTTAATCACAGTGTTATTTCATTCACATCGAAGCGTGATGCTCGCTTTCGTCTTATGTGCAAGCTTGTCCATGGACACGAACAGAAAGCGCACATCACTCCTTAGAACTTCTGGTATTCACCACAAATGTTCACTTTCTTGGCACACACACACACGCACTACCTTGAATAAGAGCTGTCGTCGGCACGGATTGTTGGTCACTGGTGCCGGTTTTTGGTTAATACTCTTGCAATGATGGCGAATGTTTGGACTAGCCCATTCGGTTTTTCAAAGGTACCAGGCACTTTTTCATTGAACCGCGAAGAATCGCGGCGCTAGTCCCGAAAGGGACACACAAAGTACGTACTGCTGACGAGTCCCCAACAGGACGAATGCCGGTCATCAGAAACATTTCCAATCATACAATGACTTGCTTACTTTGGAATTCAGATCGTAGCTGTGACCACCATGTCTGTTTGTGCTCTCTCCGCATCTGGTGGTGGTGGTTGTCTGCTCGGTAGTTCGACCTCCCCCTCCGAAGATTGCCCTGCCTCTCTACTTATTTTTAGCCTTTCATTGAGCACGAACTCCCGAATTCCTGAAGATGGATTACACCTTTTTTCATATTGCTATGTGCTTGGTTAGACGTACGATCGATACGAGCATCTCTACCTCTGCCACCACAGCCTGACACGATATGCGTAATTAAGCTATTGGGCGCACGAGAACCACGTGACGCGCCCTAATCAGATCGCGTCCTTGACACTCCGATTGGTCGATCGGACGACAGCTGCCTAATTCGCCTTAATCATCCAATTCGGAATCGATTCGCCTTGGGTGTCGCGAACGCACTTGTAGTGTGAAGTGGATTCATGCACGGCCTGATGGGTTCTGCGCACCCCGTCCTAGCACATGAAATAAACGACAGTAAAAATATTTCTACCATTAATAGTGCATATCTCGTTTACCGTAACCTCTGCGCCCTGAGGTTGCAAGTTCTTGTTGCAACTCATGTCACTGTTTTTAATGACCAAACGGCGTCTTCGGTTTCACTGTTTAGCGAACACACTGATGACATGTACCTCAGTAGTGGACTTATCTAATTTCCTTCCTTCCTAATTTACCCATTCCCTATCCACAGGTCAGTACTGACTTCGCATTTCGTGAATTCCTCATCACTCCAGTTGCCCAATCGAAACGTTTGTCCACCTCAGCAGAGCCGAGCACTCGTCGCGTTGTCCAACTCCAGTTCATCAGTTGGCCGGATCACGGTGTGCCTGGGAATACGAGTGATTTGATCACATTTGTTGATCGTGTGCGTGATGCGCGGGGATCGAATTCACGTGCGCCCATTGTGGTCCACTGTTCTGCGGGGATCGGACGTACCGGAGTGTTGATCACTATGGAGACCGCGCTGAATCTGATGGAACGCGATCAACCTGTGCGACCACTCGAGTTGGTTCAGTTGATGCGTGCGCAACGCGCCTTACTCATCCAGACCACGGTGTGTGTGTGTGTGTATGTGTGTGTGTGTGATTCGTTTTGCTCTCCTTCCCCGCCCCGTCCCCCCCCCCACAGCCTCACCACAAAAATATTTCACCGGGATGAGACGCAAACCGATGTCGATAGTTTTCCCACAGGCACTGAAGATATGACCTCGGTTGGCCATGAATATATTTCATCGCAAATTATCTACAGTTTGACAAGCGAGTAGAAATGCAACCAATTGCTTGTTTGCGTGACTTGCATAACAGTGCGTGTGTGTGTGTGTGTNTGTGTGTAGCGTAGTCATCATTTTGGAGGCGGAAAAATCTATTCAAAAAGATACATTTCACTAGGAACTTCAACTCACATCTGACACACACACACACACACACAAGGTCTCACACTATCTATTCTCCTCATGCACTGCCAACAACTCAGGTATCCCACAGAGGCAGACATTCACATGTAAACCAGAATTTTCGGCTACACTGTGAACTGAGTTGTGACATGACGGAACCATTCGGAGATTATGCGAACATGCATTGTCTGTTTACAAAGCGTTCACCACTATTCACCAGTACGACACGAACCGCTCTGCTCATTTACCCGGTTCTCGTTGATACATACGGTGGATACACAAAACCAACGGTCGGGCGGGTGGGTGGGGGTAGGGTGTCGGGAATCATACGATCGACAGAACTGATTCGTATAATTCAGATGGAAAGTGTGCAAACACGACCATGGTTACACACATGAAATGTTGACAATGGACAGAGAAGATGCAAGTTGGCACACAAACAGCGCCAGAGGCTAGAAAAAGTCCCATAGTCTATCTTAATCAACACAATAGAATGTCTTACTGAAATCGGGCAATGAAGCAATTTATTACGCTTCGTTTTCTTTCTACCCGGGCAAGATAAGACGGATTGATATGAGAAAGTAATAAAATCCAGTGTAGATTAAGAGAGAGAGAGAGAGACTAGATTAGCAACCTACTGGTTGGGGGTCGCGTGAGGAAAAAGAAAACAGGTTTCTGTCGCGAAAAAACGATGCAGAATGTGTGCTGTAGGTTGAAACCTGGAGATTTTTGGGATTAGATGAATGTTAAATCCAACAATCAGGATTGTTGGATACGATGGCTGTTTATTGTAGTCAGTAATTCTGGGACGCAAATTAGTGTATCTAACCATATTAAACTTGAAGCAGAATGGCAGTTTGTTACCCTAACTTCTGATGCTGTTTAAACACACACAGTCCTTCTCATTTGTGTGTGTGTATGCGTATGTGTGTGTGTGTGTGAACCTATGAGCCCACTACCGTACAGAAAGCGTAAGTTAGGTGTCTCAGAATTAATGACACTACTGTACACCCATTTGGAAACCATGTTGATAGAATATCTTCTGTCTTTTACTTTTTTTCTCTTACTTCCTTTTATTGAATATGCTATGGTACAATGTTTCAGGAAGGGGGGGGGGAAGCGGCCAATCAAAGGGCTGCCATTCAACACACAATGGGTAAAGTCAGGCGGTGATGGTGGGATTCGAACACACATCCCCGGGGTGAGAATATGGTGACGTTACCATCGGGCCACCACCGCCCACTGACTTCGTAATGTTGAAGCAGATTTTGCTCTTTGCCGAGTAAACAGAACTCAAGGGGAGCATTAGCTTTCTTAATTTGAACCTCTAGAAGATTTGTTCAGCTTAGAAAGGGACACAAAAGTTCTTCGATCGCTTTTCATACGTCGACGAACGGAATTCGCAGTCAATATTAAATTTTATATCGTAAGTTAATGTGAAAAGTAAGCAACACAAAGATCCTCCATATTGTATGTGACAATCTTCATTCTGAGCGTATCCCCATAGAATGGACACAAATGATAACCAATAGAAACCAAGGCCAACTGTTCCATAATATGACCCACATGAAATGATCAATATCCAGCGGTATACGGTGCTATATGGGGACGGTCGACAGAAAAGGTCAATTCACGGACCGTGAACCAATGTGGTGCCCAACAGAGTTTAGCACTTGGCTCGAATCCGGAAATCAGTTATAGATATTTGGTTCATTGTTCAGATGTGAACCTGATACAAGTTTGCGATCTGTCTGTCTGTGCTGTATACTGTGATTGCATTGTTCTAACTGACGTGAACAAAAAGAAAACAATTAACTGAACAGCAAAACCAATGTATTTTTGTCTTATTTATTGAATTCAGAAATAACAGATTATGTGCGGATACACGAAGACGATATTATATATGAATCCAACCGAACATTGGAAATTGATCACCATCATCTTCTGTGTGACGTACCATTTTACATAATAAACTTTGCTCAGTGCACAAGATAACTTTGGAAATTTCAAATGCTCACAGGTATTTTTATCCAATGAGACAAACGCGCTAATCACCTAGTAGAACGGTATTCGTTGAGCTCACAGTAGAGATAGCCATTTTCTGTCACTCATATGACTAGACAATGAAGAAAAGCAGGCGAACAGGCTAACCAAATGCCAGAAACGGAGTAGAACCTCACTGTCCACCGCACCGCACCGCACCGCATCTAACTTCACCTAACAACCGATCAAGTCGACCTGGAGCATTCCAAACCTAAATGACCAAATTCACGAAACCAGGTCAAGGATGGTCTGATCATCCTTGATCCTCTCCAAGTCATCATCGCCTGTCACACCTTGAAAGCCTAGCTGTGGGTAAACGCATCAGAGGGATTGGTGAATCAGTGCCAGATCAATGGAGTTTAGAGAACACTAAAAACTGAACTGTGATCTGTTTGTGTGTTTACTTCTCATCCTTGGGCACGCATTACACGAATCACATTACACCAACTGTTCAAATGTAAGACTCGTTTGCGTGTCTGCATTCGTATCGTATTACCTCATAAAAATTTCAACAGGGGGGGGGGGACAATTCTGCCACGAAACATTGCAATTAACCTATGGTTTGGGAGGGAAATTTTTTGTCACAGTTTGTTTCTGAAACTGTCCAGCTCTTCCCCCTCTACGCTCCCTCTCTCTCTCTCTCTCTCTCCTTTCCTCACTCTCGTAGCCTTATTTCACTGAAACATTCAAACATTTCTTCTTTTTCTTTTGCGTTACAAAGACAACCCGTTGAGATTGTTCATGCAATGGCTTGACCCAGTTATCACCAGGGTTTAGACACATACGCCCCATTTCAAGTTTGACATTTAAGGAATTTTGTTCACTACTGGGACAACAAAGACACAACATACCCAGTGGTCACGTGCCGGAGAAGATCGCGTTCTTGTTCACGTGCTTCAGTGCGGCACTGTCCCTCTGAAAACAAAGTTATCGGTGAAACTATACAGACACACCCACACATGCATTCGTTGTCTTGTGGTTACTGGTACACGGTCGAGGCCAGCCACAAACCTGGGATCGCGACATACAGGGTTACCATTGTTACTCTCTCCATTCACATTTCCCGACCGCCAATTCTTCAACAGGCACACACAGTAACTTGCATGCATACTCCTACAAAAATTGCGCCCTGTGATCGTGAGATAAACTTCAAGTTGGCCCTATTCTGCCCTCTTCCCCGGGGGGTGGGGTGACGACAGGTTGAAATGATTACGCGAAATGACTGAAACAGTTGGTTCTGGTTGCAAATTNAATTACGAATAAGTGGAAACACAATAGAAAACACACAACCGGTTATTTGGTGATCACATGATTTTAGCTATTGGCCATGATCGCTCATTACTGTTGTTGTTGTTGTTGTTATTGTTATTGCGGGCTGATCTGCCTCCTTGGGCTTCAAAGACAGACGAGAATAAGTTGTAGAATGAATTATATCGACCTATCTGAGACCATTTTCTGGTATGCTATACAATTCAACACATCACTGTCGCGCTTTGTTTGGCTTATTTCTATGGTACAATAAAAAAAATCTGTCACCTTTCTAATTTAGACGAAAAATCGATCGTCCTATGGGCTTCTTACGGGAGTATTCACTTGATGTCTGACTGCCAGTCAAAATTTTTCAAAGCGTATCATTCTCAGGCTAAATATTTTATTCCACACCCTGTTTTTTTTAAATTTTAGCAGCGAGTATACTAACCAGTCGATAGAACTTATAGACGATACCATAGCAACTTCCTTTAGTTGACAAATTGAACAAAAGCAGTTTTTTGTGTGCTTGCATGTACGTGTGGTTTGTGCGGGAATGCCGGACCACATCCATTTTTTATTTCTAGGGTCTCACAGCTGTCAGTCAATCATTTTTGCCGGTCACTGTGTGTGTATGTGTGTGTTAGAAACCCAATGATTTTCGACAATTTTGCATTTTTCCGTGGATTTTAAATAAAAAAATTAGCTTCCTTTTAGTGAGTAATACTTTTCGTTTTTAGGGACGCCAGCGGGATGTCCAAGCAGCGCTCTGATTCAAGCACCACTGGATGATATAAATGTATATATTTCATGTGAGTAATGGAGGATGGAGTTGGGAATTCGTCGTGCATATGGCAAATGAAGCGTGAACTGAAAAGCTAAGATCCACTGGACAGCTGTCTCGATCTAGTTGGGTCTCATCAGCGGTGCAAATTTATCGACTCAACTGGGGATCGAACCCGGGACCTCGTGGGCAGAACGCAAGCATGCTACCCACTCGGCCACCGGGCATTTACATGATATAGCACAACCCATCTGTGCGAGCTTGTTGC